CGGTGAAGGAAAAACAACAGCAACAGAGAAACGGAGGGATAAGACAGCAACAGAGATGTGAGATATAGCAACAGACGAGACACAGCAACAGATATATGAAACACAGAAACAGCGCCACAGCAACAGAGATGAGAAAGAATAACACGAATATAAATCTCAGCAACAGTGCCACAGCATCATTGACACAGAAGGAGCACCACAGCAGCAGTACCACAGTAACAGCACCACAGCAGCAGTGCCACAGTAACAGCACCACAGCAGCAGTGCCACAGTAACAGCACCACAGCAGCAGTGTCACAGTAACAGCACCACAGCAGCAGTAACAGCACCACAGTAACAGCAGCACACAGCAGCAATGCCACAGTAACAGCACCACAGCAGCAGTAACAGCACCATAGCAGCAGTGCCACAGTAACAGCACCACAGCAGCATTGCCACAGTAACAGCACCACAGCAGCAGTGCAGCAACAGCACCCACAGCAGCAATGCACAGTAACAGCACCATAGCAGCAGTGCCACAGTAACAGCACCACAGCAGTGCCACAGTAACAGCACCATAGCAGCAGTGCCACAGTAACAGCACCACAGCAACATTGCCACAGTAACAGCACCACAGCAGCAATGCCACAGTAACAGCACCATAGCAGCCACAGTAACAGCACCACAGCAGCAGTGCCACAGTAACAGCACCACAGCAGCAATGCCACAGTAACAGCACCACAGCAGCAGTGCCACAGTAACAGCACCACAGCAGCAGTGCCACAGTAACAGCACTACAGCAGTATAAATAAGACTCGAGCATAGCCGTACCATAAAGACAGAGGTGAAACATAACAGCTGCGCCACAGAGACCAAATAAAAAAACAACAGCTGCGCCACAGCAAGAGAGCGTGAGATAGCTGCCTTACGGAACACCGACACCCCACAAGGTGAGGGGCACTGGCCGCTCTGATGAAACAGGAAGGGGCACACGTGTCTCTCTCTCTCTCTCTCTCTCTCTCTCTCTCTCTCTCTCTCTCTCTCTCTCTCTAAACGCGTGAGAATTTCCCCGTGATAAACTAGCCACGATGTTGATACCAAGTAAGCGAGTGTTGAGGTAATGAAGGGTTGTAGTGAACCATTGCTGCATTTATCATTACCTAGTTCAAGGTTGAAACTAGGTCAGTGCATGTAGTGGCTCGTAGATATACTTCACCGGTATTCTACAGACATTGCAGTAAGTGGCTAAAGGTGGACCAGTGAATCGTAGCAATACATGGCCCGGTACATCTCGAGATACATGAATTATGGTAATAAATGGACCGGTACAACTCTAGTTCATGGCTATAAATGACACAATACACCGTTTGGTCCATGGCTAACTAAATATGAACCACTACAACCTCGGTACATGTCTTAAAATGGTCCAGTACACCCTTAGATTCATGGGCAAAAAGGTTATCACAATACACCTCCCTCCCCCCCTCGGTTCATGGTTAAATATGGTCCAACAAACACCCCCCTCCCCCAACTCCCTCCATCCCCGGCTCATGGCAGAAGACGACCCAGTACACGGCGGCTTGTCTTAAGAACCTCCCTCTCCCTCCTCTCTCTCTTCTTCCTCCCCCTTCCCCCTCCACCCCTCCCTCCCCCCTCCCTCTAAAGATAATTGCCAAACACAATAAGCAGTTACCGTCCCTCAGGATTCTTGAAGGAGGTGGCGTGTATTTGCATTGCCATATTGTACCTTTTAAACGCTAGGAACGTGGTGCTCCTGTAGCCGCTTATCCTGGTGATCACTGTCTGCTCTTATATGCAAACGTCCTGCTCCTCTTTTAGTGTGTGTGTGTGTGTGTGTGTGTGTGTGTGTGTGTGTGTGTGTGTGTGTGTGTGTGTGTGTGTGTGTGTGTGTGTGTGTGTGTGTGTGTGTGTGTATGTGTGTGTATGTGTGTGTGAGAGAGAGAGAGAGAAGAGAGAAATGACAATAGAGCTAGGATGGGAGAAAGGAGAGAGAAAGACCGACCGACAGAAAGGGTGGACACTCAGGATGACAAAGAGACAGACAGTAACTCAGATGTTTAATCACTCAGACAGTCAACGAAGCAGTCAGTCAAGTTATGAGTCTGGTAGAGAAGAAGATGAGAATGTAATAAAAAGCGAGAGAGAGAGTCAGTCAGCCACCTCCAAAAATTTCGTGAACCCTCTTATACACCCTCCACCCACCCACCCTCCACCCTTATAAGTGGATAGTCTCTCCACCAACCATCCTACCCTATTAGTGAACAACCCCTCCACCCGCCCCATCCACCCAGCTTGTAAGTGGATGGTCCTGACATGGGCCTAAATAGATAATCCACTTATAGCAAGGTGGCAATAAACGACCGTCTCGTTATAGCAGTGCCATAAAAGAAGATAGTTTAGTAGGGAGGGGAAGGGAGGTTAGTGGGAGGCTGGGGTGGGTGGGTAGTTAGCTTTAAGGTGACTAAACTGGATAATCTTCACTACTAACACTACCTGATGAACACATGGCCTGGCTAACACCTGGCCAAGTTACCTGAAGGTCACACAGGTAACCTTAACGGAAAATTAACCAACTACCTTTAACTACAGCATCAGGGAATCCTCAGGTAGGGCGAGAACCGTAACGAGAGTATCATTAACGAAACAGGAACGATCAGTTTGTTTAATTTACCGATGTGGATTAATTCCTGGGGTAGACGTCATTGGAGACTCAGCCTTACAGCTCCTCAACATAAGGTCTCTTCCTCTCCACCAGCGAGTGATCAACCGGAGACTCTATCAGCCAGTCTTTTCTTAATGAATTGTTGGTACGTGTAATCCATTCTCAAGACAGTGGGTGAGCCTAAGACTTTAAAAAATCAATTAACTGGCCCTCTTAGTGGTTATAGACGTGATGATGTATGATAACGTTAATATTTATTCCTCGTCTTCTGACTAATAACCGAGACGAAAAGCTTTTATATCTTACCTCTGTCTTACTCATCATTCAGTAATGTGTTGGGATGTATAAACTGTGTGTAGCTAGAGCGAGTCTTCTCAGTTTTACGCTGCTTCATCAGTGTCTGTCAGCAAGAAGTAAACAATCTACTTCGTGAGGTAAGTTGCAAGACGATGCAGCAGCGTGTTGCAATAACCAGTATGAAGCGGTAGCGTGTGGCTGGGTGTAGAGAGAGGGGCAATTAGCATAGCTCCCCCTACCGTCACTCTCCTCTCATTTTCGTCGTCTGCCAGAAATTGATTTTGTTTTTAGAGAATAATAAGCTGTCTTATCACGGCTCACACTCATTTCTAAATAGTTTTTTAATGCCTTTTGTCAACCAGGTGCGACCCAGGCTATCTTTCCCCAAGTCAATATCTAGTTCTCCGCCTCCTGGGGTCACAGAGTGGAGTGCGAGGCAGGTCATGCGACTCTTACATTTTGATCAGGTTTTCTGTTTACATTTGTGTTTTTGTTTTCGCGTCAGCTGTGTGGCGCTGGTGTTCGTATACAGTGTAAACATTCCCCGTTGTGGTTATTTGGCATTTAAATTTCTCGACATATATTTAAATTTGTCTCAAGTTTACTGTAGTTGTACTCAGGTAATTCTCAGGTATTTAGATATTTTGTCTTCGTGCGTCTACGTCTGCCAGGCTCAGTCATGCCAGTTATATCTCAATCTGTCGATCAATAATGTGTCGAACAAACTTTCTAGTTTGTTGAAGACACTCAACCCACCAAGGAACATTCCTGACCACTGTTAAGTCTTAATTATCAACAGGTTTCTACACGTAGTGGCAAGGTGGTTAATTTATCGCCTGTTAGAGACAAGGGCAGTATGTATTCCAGAATTTACTTCAGACACTGCTGGTCAGAATGTTGTAGACCAGACGACGTAAAGGTTATATAAAGATACTTAGCGTCACACTGAAGCTGCACTACAAACACAGGCAACCAGACACGATGCCAACTATAACAAAATATATCTCACGGTGAGAGAGCCGCGTGAAGCAGCTGCCGGCTATCTCCACCATCTTCGCATAACACCGCTGTAAACAAAGCGGTTTTTGACGTCTATTTTATCATAATTTTAGCATAATACAAAACTTACCGGATCCGCCGGACGCTTCCCACCAGTGGCTGGGAAAAAGAAGAGGTGGTGGAGAGGAGAATGAGCTGCCGTACCTGTAAAATATCTTACTGATATTATCTGGCAGACGCTGTGTTCAAGATGTTCCCATTTAGCCATCTGTAAGATAGCGATCCTCCCTATCTGAGCCACACCGCTGGGTACAAGGCAACACAACTCTCACTTCCAGTCCGACTACCTCATCTACAGCTTCTTCCAGATACCATCAAATGGAACGCTCTGATTCCAGGAGGCTAGACTCGCTTCCACGGCTAGGAAGCTTATTGCCCAGGGATAGTTTTGTCAACATCTAAGAGACAGACACTCGTTTCAGAGTTTGTGAGACAGCATTCAAGAGCGGGTTTTTGTGTGGCTCACTCGAGAGATAGAGTCAGTTCCAAAGCCTTGAGCTTCTTCACTGAGGGCAGGTTTTGTCGTTATTACGGGAGAGATAACCTCATTTCTACACCCAGAAGTCTTCTCGCCGTATCAAGAGAGGCAGTGTCGTCAACTACAAAGATACAGTCAGTCCCAGGAGGCCCGAGTCTCTCTCCCTCCTTGTTAGAGATTTACCCTTGGCATCACTCTGAGATAGTCATCCAGGGCGCCCAGGCGGACACCTTCACACACACACACACACACACACACACACACACACACACACACACACACACACACACACATTCTGAGGTCGAGAACGCTAAACGAGGGCTCAGAGTTGTGTTGTTACGTTATTAGTTTGGTCCCCTTCCTCGACTGGTTTACGGAGCTGGCCGGGGTTCATTCTATTAGGCCTTGTCGATAACATGTAAATTCCATTTTCTGGTAAGAGTGAGTGTGGGAGGTCGTCTTGCAGGGAGTGATTCGGCAGCCTGAATTCCAATGGTCTTTCACTGGTCTTCCTGAATTTTCCCTCGAGTGGTCTTCCCCTCTAGTGGTCCTCTTCCATGACGTGATCTCGCTAATGGTCTCTCGTTCTTGGTCTCTCAACGGGTTTTCAACTAGAGGAATCTTCAAGTGGTCCCAATTTCTGGAATTCTTTTCTACAGGGTCCTCTTCCGTTTGTGGTCCATAGTCTGCCATTGTCTTCCCTTAGTGGTCCATTACCTACCATTGTCTTTGTTCTAGTAATCTCTCTTTAAATGGCCCTCGATTCCTAAGTCATCTAGTGGTCCTACCTCTGATGGTCCATCGTTCTAATGGTCTTTCTACATTGGCTTTCAAGCTATTTTTATCTTCCTTGTCTCGACCTCTGTTGGCCTCTACCCATAATAGTCCTACCTCTAGTGACCTCTACATCTAATGGTCGTACCTCTAATGGCCATACCTCTAGTGGTCTCTACCCATAATGGTCGTTCCTCGGTGCCTAACAAGGTCGTATATTCTTATACCTCCCGTAAAATAATATCCCCAGTATGATAATTACTATGATAATGTCCTCGCTCTCCAGTACTTATCCCGCACTCTAATGGCTACTTAGTATTAGGGGGTCAGAGCCCTAGCCACCGACACGATGATTTTTACCGTAAGGGAGTCAGGGGCCCCGTTATTCATGATCTCTCTCTCTCTCTCTCACACACACACACACACACACACACACACACACACACACACGAGCCAGCGCAGCCAGGTCGTACCAAGCCGCCCTCTCACAGTAAAAAAAGAAAAAAGAAAAAGGAAAATCATCATCAAGGAGGAACTTGTATAAATATTCTACAAGCAGCAGCAACAAGACGCGGCGGGCAGGGGGGAGGGAGGGAGGCAGGCATGGACGAGAGACTTCATAAACCCGAGAGACTTATGATCCCGTTGCTTGTATCACCACCCACGACACTACACGAAACCTGGTCGCTCCCAAATTTTCAAAAGTTTTTTAAGTTAAGATTGTTTTTTCTCACCTATCTGTATAAAGGTGAGAATGTAAACAAACTGGCTAAAATTGCATAGAAAATAGATTGATTGAGTCGCAGCTGGAGACGGTCGCTTATTAGGATTTTAGCGGGAAAAATATTAACGAACGAATTTTTGAGTCTGTAGCCCAAGCTGTCTAGTCTTGCTTAGAAAAGAGGGGGAGGAGGGGGAAGGGGGGGGAGTTCTTTCATGAGCTTGGGTTAGGGAGGAGGAGGGAGAATGTTTGTCTGAATAGAAAAGAGGGAGTCTTGCCTAAAGAAAACGGTACTGTATTATTGGTCGAGATATATGTGATTATTTAGTAAGATGTATTCTCTTGGGAGATCTAATTAACCGTGTTTGTTTGTGTAAATATTTGTTGATTGGTTAATGTTTTATGGTGTTTTTTTTATGAATATTAATGTAATCTAAATAATTGGTTATAATAAAACCTTTTCTCGGTAAAAATAACCTTATCAGTGAGGCGAGCAACGAACCTAAGACAGCTTCTGGTTGTGTCTGTTGAGTGCATTCCCCGCCCCTCCTCCTCGCCTTCCTCACTTTACACTCCTCCTCCTCCTCTCCCTCTTCCTCGTGATCCTCAAACTCCATTCCCCACAACCTCATCACCCTCCCTCCTCTCCCTTTCCTCCTCCCTGTCCCCATTCCAGCCACCTCAGACCCTATTAATCACCCTATTCCATTCACCTCTTTCCCACCTTAGATAATCTTGCCACCATAACCCATTCCAACCATCCCCTCACCCATTCCATACAGTCAGCTCCCTACCCCATCCTCTCTTCTTTACCCCCTCCCCCTTCTTGACCTACCCCATTCCCCATCAAATATGCCCCACCTTGACCTCTCCTCCACCATCCTAGCAGACCCCACCCCCCATCAAAACCTCCTCAATAAACACGCCCTTCTGTGACCTTCCCCCCATCCAAGCCGACCCCATCCTCCGTCTGCCTCACCTATCAAACACGCCCTTCCATGACCCCCATTCTGGCCAACTCCATCCCCCACTTGGTACCCCCCATCAAACATGCCCCACCCTACCTTTACCCCCCATGTAGCGGCCAGAGTCATGCACTGGCCGCACCGCCTTCCCGTATTAGGAGGAACATTAGGTTAGCCCCCAGTGTCTGTAACGGTATCTCTCTCTCTCTCTCTCTCTCTCTCTCTCTCTCCTCACGCGACAGTTAACCCTCCAATAGATTTTCTCGTGATCTACTCCACCTAGCATAAGAAATCCATCACATCACTGCTGGAAAGACACAGACAGACAGTGTAGAGAAAGACAGGCAGAAAAACAATATTGAGAGAGAGAGACAGATGGTGGAGGCGAGAAAGATAGACAGACAATCAGCAAGAGAGAGAACACGTAATAAGAAAGGATGATCCTCGGACAGTGTGCGAGACAGACAGGCAATCAACGGTACAAGCAGACAGGCAGCCAAACGTACAGACAGAAAATCAAACAGAAAGCAGACAGATGGTTTGTGTGTGCGTGTGTGTGTGTTTGTGTTTGTGTGTGTGTGTGAGTGTGTGTGTAATAATAATAATAATAATAATAATGATAATAATTAACGGTTTATTGAAAGAGCTTGGCAGCCAGAAGGCTGAAAATATACAGTTACATAATTGGGGAATGGGTTTCGATTTACAAATAATATACAAATAACATAAGTGATATAAATAAGATATGTAATAACAAGATGGGGAAAAGCTCAAACTACAGTTCATTTCAACATAGTGACAGTGCAAGAAGTAGTATTTACTGGGACTGAATACACTGGTTTATTACAAGTTATTGATAATTTTTACAATGGTTGGGACTGGGCTGTTCTTATAGCGATCAGTTCGTGCACGTATGGGCTGGATGCGGTTGTGGTGTCGAACAGCAATTCTCGGGCTAGGGATCTCAGGTGGTAGTAGGAGAGTGTGTGTGTGTGTGTGTGTGTGTGTGTTGAGAGAAAGGGAGACAAAAAGAAAGAATGAGTGAGTGAGATAGTTTGAGCGAGGGTCACATCAGGTGATTACGCCATGTGTGTGTGTGTGTGTGTGTGTGTGTGTGTGTGTTTTTCTCTTTCATATCTGCGATGGACTACGACACACACGCCAGGATGCACCTTGAAGAAATTAACTAATTAACTACAGGTATATTGATGCCAGTCTTCCCTATACCATTCTTTAGATAAGAAGAAGATACATGATTTAGTTGTGTAATATGAGATGAACGGATGACCTTCAATAAACTGTATGTGGAGAGAGACGCAGAGAATGGTGGAGGTGAATGGTGATGAAGCTCAACCCAACAGTAGTGGGAGTATCACCACCAGCAACAGTAACCTCACCAGCAGCACCAACAATAGCAACACCCCAAAGTAGCAGGAGCATCGACATAAGCACCACAACAAGAACCCTAGCACAAACAACAGTACTAGCAGAAGCATCGCCACCAGCACCAGTACTAGCAGTAGTACCAGCATCAGCAGCACCTGTACTAAGAGTAGCAGCAGCAACACCCGCGCTAGTAGCAGCAGGAGCAGTACCAGCACTAGGAGTAACAGCACCAGTACTAGGAGTAGCAGCAGCAGCAGTTCTAGTAGCAACAGCAGCAGCAGCAGCAGCAGGAAGCACCAATAAAGGGCGCCAGCTCGCACCTTCCGCCCGACAGGGCAATGTATCACCACAATTTACATAAACAAGCTCCCTGAATTAGGCTGAGCTACCTGTTACCCTCCACAACACTCGCACTAACTTCCTCCTGATGTCTAAATCCTGCCCCCCACTCGCTAACTTTACTCCCATTCACCCTACCACTCACCCTTCCACTCACACTCCCACTCTCCCTCCCACTCACCCCCAGACTACATTTGAAGGGAGTCACACCATTGTCTTAGAAGTAGGTCATGATTTCCTCCAATCACAAACTAGATTTAGGATTCCTTTGTTAAACAGTGGATGAGAAACTGACCGAGACCCCAAGACCATAATTTCCCTCAGATGTCAAAATCTTACGTTCCTCTTCGATCAGCTGAATCCACATCTTCACTTCCTTGGCGCATTTCTCATTTTCTAGGAAATTTCAACTTTGTCAAGAATAATCTAATGTTCTCTGGATATAATTTTTCTTCCAATATTTTCCTCGTTATCATCGAGAGATTCTGGTTGTGTGAGAGGAGGGGTTCGTATTGTCAAAGAGATTTACATTACTCTTTGAATTCCCGTCTGAAATATATACAGTTTTCAGTCTTTCTCAGTGGGAAAGGTCTGTTCCATCCTGCCAGACATAAAGTGACTTGTGTGAATTATCATTACTATGAATAATTTTCTTTGCCAAGTAAGGGTTCTCATTGACGTAAGGGAACTTTAAATCTCTCCTAGTTAGCCTTTCACCTTACGAAAGAGGAGAGTGAATGTTCCTTCTCGTGTGGTCAGTGGGAGAAAGACCACCACTTGGATACCTTGTGTACATTTCAGAAGTAATATGATGGTGCAGCTTCAGCTAAAAGTACAGGTACAAATGCAGGAATGAATACAGATACAAGTATAGGTACAGATACAAATACAAGTATGTATAGATACACATACAAGTACTGATAGAAACACAGGTATAGATACAATTACTGGTACAGGTACAGGTACGAGTTTAGGTACAGATTTCAAAGTGTTTGCTCCATTAACATTAATACACTTAAGAAACACTGTATCACACACACGCACACACACGCACACACACACACACACACACACACACACACACACACACACACACACACACACACACACACACACACACACACACAGAGCCAAGAATTTTCTTCACTTCCTATTTACAGTGTCCCCAAACACAATAATTTACCTTGAGTGAGTCTTATACCTTACAAGATGTGAGGTTTAATGCAATGTAGACTATTTGTAAGATGTAGCTTACTAGACTTTTATTGAATTAGATATATTGAAATGAAGAGTGAAAAAAATATGGATTTGTGTTTTAGATGTAGGTGATAATGATATTTTTGAGACGGCTGAGTAAGTGGGCCTGTCAGTTTGGGAAGATATTAAAGCTGCCTTTAAAAGTGTACTGTAAACTCCTTGATGAATTGTACATAGCGAATTATCAGAAAAAAGTGGAGTGTTTTTCAGAAATTGTTTTAAAAATATGTGAGACTTGATATTGCCCCTCC